GAAGTCGAGGTGAGGGGCGTGGGGTGTGGGGGTTGGGGCGTGGGGCGTGGGGCACGGGGCGTAGGGTGTGGGGGTTGGGGCGTGGGGCATGGGGCGTAGGGTGTGGCAGTCGGGCATGGGCAATACCCATCCTGCTGGGGTACTCGCCCATGGAAGTGGAGGTGAGGGGAACGCACATGAATAGCGTGGGGCATGGGGTGTGGGGTGTGGGGCGTGGGGCGTGGGGCGTGGGGTGTGGGGCACGGGGCGTAGGGTGTGGGTGTCGGGCATGGGCAATACCCATCCTGCTGAGGTACTCACCCATGGAAGTCGAGGTGAGGGGAACGCACATGAATAGCGTGGGGCGTGGGCATGGGGTGTAGGGTGTGGGGCATGGGGCGTGGGGATGGGGTGTAGGGTGTGGGAGTCGGGCATGGGCAATACCCATCCTGCTGGGGTTCTCGCCCATGGAGGTGGAGGTGAGCGGAACGCACATGAATTAGTGTGGGGCGTGGGGCATGGGGCATGGGGTTGAGGCATGGGGGGTCTTCGCTCATAGTGGAAGGGGGTCTACACCTCACTGGCGGCATGGGGCATGGGGTTGAGGCATGGGGGGTAGGGTGTGGGCGTAGGGTGTCGGGCATGGGCAATACCCATCCTGCTGGGGTACTCACCCATGGAAGTGGAGGTGAGGGAACGCACATGAATAGCGTGGGGCGTGGGGCATGGGGTATGGGGCGTGGGGCGTGGGGCAATGGGTGGGAGTAGGGGCATGGGTCATGTCATGGGGTTGGGGCGTGGGGAATGAGGCATGGTTTGGGTGTGGTACCAAATGGTTGCCCCTCTGATGTGCATGCTGCCACTGCATGCGATTTCTCAGATGTCTCACAAAGTCTTCGTTTTCCACCTGTTTCCTTTTTTCCTATAATAGCCCTGCTGCCCTCGCTCGCTTCTTCTCTCAACGCCCCCTTTTTCCCAGACCCACCTCCACCCTCTCCCCTCTTCACAACGCCTCCCTCCCCCCTCCTTTCTCACCTCCCCTCCCCACCCCACCAGATGATCGCCCTGCTAGTGAGCTACCACCGCAAGCGTCCCCCCTCCACCAAGGATGAGGACGTTGTCAAGCTGCCATTGCGACATTGTCAACCCTCCTCCCCATTTTCCCTCTTCCCTCCCCCTCCCCATCACCTCCCCTCCCCACCCCATCAGATGATAGCTCTGTTGGTCCGCTACCACCACAAGCGCCCGCCGTTAAGGATGAGGACTTTGCCGAGCTGCCTTCCTGACTTGTCAACCTGCCTCCCATTATCCTGTTCCCTCACTCCCCATCACTCCCCTCCCCACCCCACCAGATGATCGCCCTGCTAGTGCGCTACCACCGCAAGCGCCCGCCGTCCACCAAGGACGAGGACTTTGCCAAGCTGCCCCCCGTGGTGCAGCAGAAGATCCGCGCCCTCTCTGCCATCATGCGCATCGCCGTGGCGCTCGATCGCTGCTATACTGGCGCTGCTGCGAGCGTGCTCGTGCTTCAAGACGACGACTCTTGTGTGCTGGTGAGTGTGTGCCTGTAACGAGTAGGCTTATAGCGAGTACATATGGCTCTGTGCCATCATTCGTATTGCTGTGGCGCTCGATCGCTGCTACACGGGTGCTGCTGCCAGCCTGCTTGTGCTGCAGGATGATGATTCATGCTTGTAACGAGTATGTGCCAGTAACGAGTATGGGCCTGTAACAAGTATGGGGCTTGTATGAGTATATGCCTGTAGTGAGTGTTTGTGCCAGCAATGGGTTCCCAAACGAAGGGGGAGAAGGGTCTGCTCAGGTCCTCAGGATGTATCTTAGGATGTATCTCTGGAAAAGTGGGCTGGAAAAGTGGGCTGGAAAAGTGGGCTGGAAAAGTGGGCTGGAAAAGTGGGCTGGAAAAGTGGGGCTGGAAAAGTGGGCTGGAAAAGTGGGCTGGAAAAGTGGGCTGGAAAAGTGGGCTGGAAAAGTGGGCTGGAAAAGTGGGCTGGAAAAGTGGGCTGGAAAAGTGGGCTGGAAAAGTGGGCTGCACACAGTAACAACCCCTCCTCACTCAACCACCATCAGGTAGGTGACCCCATGTGCTGATCCTCACACACAGGGGCAGCACAGGACGTGTCTCTGAAGATGTAGGCTGGGTTTCACTTCACACCACCTTCACCTCTCTCCACCCCCTCTTCTCCCTTGTCACCCCTTCCCACCCCTTCTCTCCCCCCCGTCACCCCTCCCGCCATCATCAGGCGGTGACCCCGGCAGTGGATCCCCTCACAGGGGCGGCACAGGACGTGTCCCTGGAGATGTGGGCGGCACGGAGCGAGCTCGAATACTTCCACAAGGTAGATACCTCCACGCCTTGGGATTTTTGTGCTCAAGGTTTGGGGTTTGAGATTTAAGAGATGTTTCCACAGCGATTGCCTCCTGTGGGTGAAGGATTTGACGAATGTGTGATTGTTACTGTGGCTTGGGTTTTGAGTCTCGGGAGATGTGGGCGTAGTGATTCCTTCTTATGCTCACTCTCCAACCAACCAGTATGCATCATGCTTGGCACTTCTGCTTCCCCCTTCTTGCTCCCGCCCCCTCATTGACTCCCTCCTACACCCACAGTGTGCAGATGCATAAGAAGGCGCCGTCCGTAGTCATTGCGGGCGACCTCGACACGGACCTGCTTTTGAGGCACCTCAAAAGTCTCCCCATTCCTCCCTCCACCACACATTGTGCAGATGAGCTTGACACGGACCTGCTCCTTGAGCTTTTTGACAAGTCCCTCATTCCCTCCCCCCCCCCCCCCCCCCCCCACCCCACGCCCACGCGCTGCAGATATTTAAGAAGGCGCCGTCCATAGTCATTGCAGACGACCTTGACGCGGACCTGCTCCTTGCAGAGCAGTCCAGGAGCCTCAGCTCTTAACTAAGTTCCGATGTATTATGTCTCAAGGATCAACAGCCTCAAAAGGCTATTCTCAAAGACGCCCCAAGAATTGCTGGGCCTTATGAAGCAGACCCTCGTGTTGGCTCCACGGCTCTAACAGATTCTTTAAGTCCCCTATCCTTTTCAACAAAGTGCGCGCAAAGCAGTGAATGGCAAAAAGGGTGATTAAGTTGTGTACCCAGCTGGTGCATGGTTTGAATGGTGTTTTGTGTGAGTGACGGTTGTGTATAGTGTGATTTTGATAAGTGTACGAGACTTTGTATTATTGATAAGAGTGCAATGGATAAGATGAGTTGGGATTGCACATTTTTTTTGAAGTGCACAATGTCTTCTATCGTTATTGTTTTACATAGCAGACTAAGCGAATATAACAAACCAGTCTTTAATTGAGCTGAATCTTCTATCAGTATTGCTTTACAACTCTAACCACACAAACATGCAGGGTTTTCCAATCTACCACATTTAGGCTCAGAGAGCCCGAACAACTGGAGTGGTGACACATTGCAAATATAGACTCCAGCCCTACTTTCCATGGACAACGCAGCAGAAAAGATGAGAATAATATGTGATTGTCGCACTCTAGTTTGATCAGAGTGTTTAGTTCTGCTGTTGAGGTACAATTACAGCTTGATTTACAATATGGGCACTAGCAATAAAACCACCTCAGAAACAGTACACACCCGTTCGAGGTTCCGATAATATCACGCCCTGAACACTTTCTTTCCAGACACCCTTTTAGAGTCTCTTGTCTGGTTAGACGCACACCCTGACATTACGGGTCTATCCATCTGGAACCAGTAGGAGCTGGACTCCCGAAACTCGCTCTTTTTAGACCGAGAGTGTTGGAAAATCACTAGAGGAATTTTTGTTTGTTTCCTTAAGCTCGCGTTGGGATTGTGTGATATCATCCTCGATAATTCTACACACGTTCCCAACTACCTTTGAAATCAGATTCCCCGAGGAAAAGTACCTCAGGTCATGAAGATAAGGGGTGTGGAGTTATCGCAGTTTCGGTGCAGGCAAGACAACAGTGTCGTCGAGACAAAACAATTGACTTGATGGGAGACTGGTCCCACTTGCCGCCCGTTCAGTGTTGGTGCTTTGTACAGTCCAACTGAAATGGCCGTAGCCAGGAGAGTTCGTGTGGCTGTACAGTAGGCAAGCCAGCTTCTGGCGAAAGCGCAGATCACCTGGCTAGTCTGCCCATTGAGGTGGAAACACAATTCGGAAGAATCCCCGCTGCCCGAAATCAGGGTCTGTGTATGAAAGTCACCGTATAGCTTTGAAGAAACTGATTTAACCCCAACAAAGCACTCGCGCTTTGCATTTGCGCTGGATAGGTTGATTATGTTACGATGGATAATGCGTCAGCTATTGGAGCTAAACTTGCCCGTATCCTCGAGAGTGTCGCAGGTGTAAGTACGTATCGATTCACCTGCGCAGTGAGAGAATACCTGGGCGGATACGGTGAGCTGACAAAAATGATGAGATAAGCCAAATGTTTACGCCTAATGCACACCTAGCACACCATTGTAGACACTCTTTCAACTTGAAAGACAAGAGCAACAGTTGTAGTTCTTGAGGAACAGGCTAGTGGTTACTGTCCTCTGGTCAAACATGGTTTGTGAATAAGTGACTTCTCATACAAAACACACCTCACTACCCAATCCTAACTTCCATGGTGAGTCCTAGCTCTTCTAGTCCTGTAAAGTTGTCGACAAGAAAGAACAACCTTTTTAGCGGTAACAAGGTGTAATAAGGCGCACTCCAGGTTGAAAACGCTGTGGGTGTCCCAGGTTTATGGATCTGCGTATCAAACCTGGATGTGTCCAAAATTTCCGGCTATGGGCATTTGGTCCCACTTACCGTTTCTCCCCACCACACAATTGGCCCGAAGAGACCCAGTCCCACCAACTCCAGTTTCAGATGAATACCTGAGTCCCCTGACTTCTCACCAGCAGAACTGCTCGCCAATATAAAGGCAATCCTCCCACTCCTTGTGTGTCAAGAAGCTCTAGCGTGTTACTTCTCAATTGACCAGCTCTGGACCAAATACCGTTTTTTTCGCCATCATGGCCCGCTATGTCGTCGTTTGTCTGCTCCTTCTCCTCGCTACGTCTGTCGTTGTGAGCACGGGAAACGACAAACCGTCGAATTCGGCTGCTGACAAGGCCGCAGCTGACAAGGCCGCAGCTGACAAGGCCGCAGCTGACAAGGCCGCAGCTGACAAGGCCGCAGCTGACAAGGCCGCAGCTGACAAGGCCGCAGGTGACAAGGCCGCAGCTGACAAGGCCGCAGCTGACAAGGCCGCAGCTGCTAAGGCCGCTGCTGACAAAGCGGCTGCTGAGAAGGCGGCAGCGGAGAAGGCGGCAGCGGAGAAGGCGGCAGCTGACAAGGCGGCTAAGGAGGCTGCTGACAAGGCGGCGAAGGAGGCTGCTGACAAGGCGGCGAAGGAGGCTGCTGACAAGGCGGCGAAGGAGGCTGCTGACAAGGCGGCGAAGGAGGCTGCTGACAAGGCGGCGAAGGAGGCTGCTGACAAGGCGGCGAAGGAGGCTGCTGACAAGGCGGCGAAGGAGGCTGCTGACAAGGCGGCGAAGGAGGCTGCTGACAAGGCGGCGAAGGAGGCTGCTGACAAGGCGGCGAAGGAGGCTGTTGACAAGGCGGCGAAGGAGGCTGCTGACAAGGCGGCGAAGGAGGCTGCTGACAAGGCGGCGAAGGAGGCTGCTGACAAGGCGGCGAAGGAGGCTGCTGACAAGGAGGCTGCTGACAAGGCCGCTAAGGAGGCTGCTGACAAGGCGGCTGCTGAAAAGGCGAGACCGGTAAAGAGAGGGGCGCTGTGCGTGGATGGCTGCGACTACGAGAAGGGCTCCTTCGACTACTGGAAGGTGCGTCAGCCTCCCTACTCGAATGCCACGGGAGGATGTTTAGAAGTGTGCTTTTATGCATCCCGCTGCTTCTCTGCTTATCATGTGCTCATGAGTACCCACCTTCTCCCCGTCGCTCTTCTCACTGGCAGGTTCCGGAATTCAGGACGTGCATGTCGAAGCCGGAGAAGGACAACGCCCCGTGGTGCGCGGCGGGCGCGGTGAACGCCAAGGACTGCTGCGCTGCATGCAAGGCCGGCGCCACCGCAGCCAATGGAAAGGCCTATACCTGCCGCTTCTGGGTGCACATCCCGTGAGTAACCCTACAATCCAGTCGCTTAATTCCCAGTATTTAGTACTCTTGTGCTCGCGTCAAAACATGTAACTCTCTTCATTGCTCTCTAGTCGCGTTCAGTCCTCTGTTGCGCTCTGTTTCTCTTCATTGCTTTCTGTTGCATTCTGTTTCTCTTCATTTCTTTCTGTTGCGCTCTGTTTCTCTTCATTGCTTTTGAATCTTCGCATTGCGCTCGTTTCCTAAACATAGTTTCCTTGGACCTGTCGCTCTGTTTTTGCTCTGTTTGCCGCAAATCACAGATCATTGCCCAGCGAGGGCAAGTGCAACGGCAAGGAGTGCGGCAAGTGCCTTCTCCTGCCGGATCTCAATTCCCTCCTGCCCACCAAGAGCGACAAGAACGGCTGCGGCGGCAAGAAGGTTCGCATCGGCAAGAACTGCCCCGCCGCGCAGAACGACCCGCACTTCCTGGGCGCGCACAACACGCGGTTCGACTTCAACGGGCTGCCCGAGAAGAACTTCTGCCTGTACACGGACCGTGCGATGCACGTGAACATGGGCATGCGCGGCTACCTCGACTCGCGCCCCACGGTTAACTCTCACGCCCTCGTCGTCAACGGCTCTGCTGTGCGCACCTGGATCCGCCAGCTCGCTGTCATGTGGACCGGCAAACACGCTACCCACTCGCTGGTGCTGACGGCGCGCGACGGCAAGGAGCAGCTCCGCGGAGAATCCGGCTTCCTGGCTTCCGTCGAGCTCGACGGCACGCCCCTTCCCCGCCTCGTTCCTGGTGAATCGCGTAGCCTTGCGGGCGGGAAGGTGTTGCTTGAATTCGTCGGGGAGGAAAGGACCGGGCCGTACGACGTGGATCACTATTATTTGAGCATCAAAGGGCTCCTGGAGTTGGACCTGAAGCTGCGCCCCGCACACCCTCTATTGCAAACACCTGACGACGCCCAGGTGCACATCAACGTGATGTTTACTGATGCGAGTGTGAGCAGCAGCGTGCACGGCGTGATGGGGCAGACGTACAGGGAGGGCAGGGAGGCCCGCACGGTGGAGTTCTCTCGGCTCGCTGCCATGCTGCACCACCCCGTGTCTGCCGATGGCGCGGAGGGCAAGGGCTTCCTGGACGGGCAGGTGAAGGACTATGAGACCAGCGCCGTCACCGCCACTGACTGCCGCTACTCTGCCTTCAATGGTCAACAGCTGCCCATCTCCGCGTACTAAAAGCTACGACTTCGTGTGGAACCATAATTTTGTATTGTATACAGGGTGATTTCGTATGCTTACTGGTGGGTGTATCACTATTCTTTGATTTGTTGTGTTGGGGTATGTAAGCAGGTTGTCATTGTCTGAAGTTGACTAAAGGGTGTGAGTGTGTAAGCAGATTGTATATGCATAGAGACCAAGTTGGGGTCCCTAAAATCATTCTCCGAATTTGAGAGCACCTGCGCTTATAATAAAACTACGGTTCCTGTGGTTGTGCTTCTACGGTTGAGCAAGGATTAAAAGTGCAAGGGCTTTTCATAGACCACTGCTTCCATTGTTCCTAGACTGCCCACTGGCACGCTGGCCCTAGCCAGCCAACCCGCCAGCCAACAGCGCACACGCCTGCTGCGCAACCCAGCACTCTACCTGCTAGCGAACACTGGCCTGCATAGCGCGCACCCCACCAGCGCGCCAGCAGCATGCACAGCCAGCAGCGCGCGTGCATCAGCAGTGCGCCCCGCCAGCGCGCACACCGCAATCAGCGCACATAAGGGGTACAACCCAATAAGGGTTAGTACTTGTACCAACTTTCTACTCAATGCATTCATTCTCGTTCAGTATTCTGACATGGTTTCAGAGCAGGTCCTCTTCCAGGACCTTTTTTTTTTAGGGCCCACCACATAGCGCTGCCCCACTAGTCACGTCGCCTTGCCCTGCCTGTCGCGCCGCCCTGCCCTGCCTGTCGTGTCGCCCTGCTGGCTGTCGCGACGCCCTGCCCTGCATATCGCGTCGCCCTGCTGGCCGTCGCGTCGCCCTGCTGCCCGCGCGCCACATTGCTGGCAGCCGCGCCGCCCTGCCCTGCCCGCGAAGAGCCGCCCTGCTGCCCACACCGGCCCGCTGCGCGCCGCCCTGCTGCTGCCCGCCCTGCTGCGCGCAGCCCTGCCGGCTGGCGCCCAGCTGCCCGCGCGCTGCCCTGCTGGCAGCCACACTGCTGCCCGCACCGCCCTGCCCGCGCCGCCCTGCCGCTGCCCGCCCTGCTGTGCGCCGCCCTGCTGGCCGACGCCCTGCTGCCCGCGCGCTGCCCTGCTGCCTGCGCGCTGCCCTGCTAGCAGCCGCACCGCTCTGCCTTGCCCACGCGCCGCCCTGCTGGCTGCCGCCTGCCCTGCCATTGCACTGCCCTGCCCTGGCCGCGAGCCGCTCTTCCCTAGACGTGCGCCGCCTCTCCCTGCCCAATGCGCTTCCCTAGTGCTCGCGCGCCGCCCTGCCTGCGTGCTGCCCTGCTGGTCGCGCGACACCCAACTCTGCCCGCTATGGCTTCACTCAGTGTTCTCACCTTCGATCATGAGGGCCGTCCGATCCAGTTCGATACATGGCTCGATGACTTACAGCTGTACCTACTGAGCGATTCTAGAGACAGCGTTTCGTTGTTTGACCACACGCATGGAGCCTCTCTCGCCCCTCCCGACACAGCTGACAGTGCGACTCGCTCACAGTGGCTTACCCATGACGCTGCTGCTCGCTTAGCCGTTCGCAATCACCTGCCGTTAGCCGAACGCGCTCACTTTGGCCAGCACAAGACTGCTAAAGCCCTGTACAACGCTGTAGTCGCTCGTTACTCTTCCCCTGCCACTGCTGCTCTTGGCCGCCTTATACTGCCCCACCTGTTTCTCGAGCTGTCAGCCTTTGCCACAGTCGAGGACCTCATTACCCACCTTCGCACCAGCGACAATCGCTACCGCGCTGCCCTCCCAGCAGAGTTCCTAGACAGGAACCCGCCCCCGAAGTCCATCACTCTCTACTTCATAGTCACCCGCCTCCCTGACTCTCTTCGCGCAGTCAGGGACCAATTTCTCGCACTTGACCCCACAGACCTCATTGTCGACCTGCTCGAGAAGCACCTCCTTGCTGCTGAGACTAGCGTAGTCGCTGCAGGTGCTGCTCGTCGCACTCCTCGCACACCCTTCTTTGAGGGGTATTCCCCCTACCCCCTTGCCCCCTCCTACGCTTCTGCTGCTACTGTTGACATCCTTGGTGCTGAGGATGTCGGGGCTGCTTCTGCTCCTTGTCGGAAGCGCCGCAACAGCAAGGGCAAGGGTGGCAAGAGTGGTGGCAGTGGCAGCGGGGATGGTGGTGGTGGAGGCAGTGGAGGCGGTGGAGGTGGCGGAGGTGGTGGCAGCGGTGGGAGTGGTGGCGGGAGTGGGGGCTTCGGTGACGGCGGTGGTGGCAGCGGTGGGGGTGGGGGTGGCGGTGGTGGCGGCAGTGGGAGTGGTGGCGGCGGCAGTGGTGGCGGTCGGGGTGGAGCTGTTCAGAGGGGAGATTCTGGCGGTGGCCAGAGGCAGCAGCAGCAGCGTCCGAGCAAGACCCCTACGCCCCAGCAGCTTCGTGAGTGGTTTGCTTAGCGTGGGGCGTCTGGGGGTAGTGTTCGCTGCCCGTATGTCATTCGCACAGGTGACCGCGCTGGTCAGACATGCGAGAAGTTTCACACTCAACACCGCTGCTTCTCCCGCCTTGACAACGCTAGGCGCGCAGAGTTTGGCGACGAGGCTGAGCGCCCCCGCTGGCTTGAGCTACTTAGGTTTGGAGATGATATCTTTGCTCTTGACTATGATGCTATCCTTGCCGCCATGTATGCCTTGTCTGTTAGTGCTGAGGGTGACTGTTACCTGTATGTGCCTGTTACGATAAGAATGAATTGATAGAAAATGTGAAGTACAACCCTAGATATAGCAAACCCTAATCATGCAAGTAAGTAGAAACGTAACACCTAGACTAACCTAAACAACACATATAAAATATATGTTGACACACCCCCATAGTCTAGGTGACGGAAGTCCTGTAGAAACAACAAGAGCAAGCAACGGTCACAAGACCCGTCTACAAGAACAAGACAAATCTCAGGGTGGAGCTCAAAGTCACCACACACTCCGAGAGCAAGCAAGGGGCCACAAGGCCAGTCCACATGCAGGTATATAGCAAATATAAAGAGATGCAAGAGTACAAGACATGCAGAACAAGGCATCTCTAAGCAAGCAAGTGAGGACGGGCAGGCACAAGGCCAAGCTGGGTGCAGAAACGCTGGTGGTCACAAGGCGGCAACGCCTTGGTGAAGATATCTGCCGTGTTCGCCTCAGAGACCACACGTCGAACGAGTGCCTGTCCACGCTGCTGCAACTCACGCAGAAGGAAGTAACGAAGCTGGATGTGCTTCGCCTTCCCAACCAGTCGGGGCTCCTCACACAACAGGACAGCAGACCTGTTGTCGGCGAACAAGACTGGGGGAGAGCGAGGCCGCTCACCAAGGTCGGTGAGAAGGAAAGACAGCCAGCGAAGCTCCTGAGCGGCCATGGCCGCAGCGTACACCTCTGCCTCACAGCTGGAACCGGCGACAGACGACGCCCGAGTCGACCGCCACGAAACAGCACCTGCCCCGAGGCTAAAGGAGTACCCCTGTGTAGACCGACGCGTCTCCGCGTCGTCGGCCCACGACGAGTCCGAGTAACCTGTGAGTGTAACTGGCTGCTTCCCTCCAAGGACAAGTCCCATGCCTGATGTACTCGCCACATACTTCGCCACTCTCTTAGCAGCGTACCAGTGGGAAGGTCGGTGTCTCCCAGGCGCAACAAAGCGCGCAAGGACGCTAAGAGGGTAAGCTAGGTCTGGGCGAGTACAGGTCATCAGGTACATGAGACAACCCACCAGCTCAGGATATGGACCACTGGACTCAAATGACTCGTCCGAAGGTGGAGCCGTGAGCCCATGATCCACACCAAGAGGGGTGAGCTGTACCTTGGAGAACGGGAAGCGAAACCGCGTGAGGATCTGCTCGACCATATGCGACTGAGTCAGCGTAATGGTGCGAGCTGCCCTGTCCCTGGTGATCTGCAGGCCAAGGTAGTGCTGCAGCTCACCAAGGTCAGTGCAAGTGTGTCTCCTCTGCAGTTCCTCCTTCACGGAGGCCAGCGCGCGTCGGTCGGGAGTGGCGAACACTAGGTCGTCGACGTAGACCAGGACAAAGAACGGGGTCGAGCCACGGCGAACGAACAGTGACGGGTCAGCAGACGACGGAAAGAAGTCAAGAGCTGCAAGGGTCGAGCGAAGTGTGTCGTGCCACTCACGTGGGGCCTGACGCAGGCCGTAGACTGGTCGACGCAGCTGCCACTGGGTCCCAGGTGGGAAAGAGCCAGTGAAGCCAGGCGGGCGACGCAGCCAGATCTGCTCGTGCAGGCTCCCCTGAAGGAACGCGGTGGAAAAGTCCAAGGAGTGCAACTCGTAGTCGCGCTGGGCTGCAATATGCAGCAACACCCGAAGAGTACTCATCTTCGGGGTGGGAGCGAAGGTCTGGAAGAAGTCCACCCCCTCTCGCTGACTGAAGCCTCTCGCAACATAGCGTGCCTTGAACACAGGTGGTGATCCAGGCGACCGCTTCACCTTGTAGAGCCATCGGCCACTGACGACATTCGTCCCAAGTGGTGGGACTGCGTCGACGTAAGTGCCTGTGGACCTATAAGATGCCATCTCTGCCTCCTCAGCTGCTATCCAGTACGAAGCCCAGGGTCCCGAGACCGCCTCGGCGTGAGTGCGAGGGATCGAGATGTCAAGGGCGTCTGGATCCCCCTCAGGGGCAAGCAGCATGGCGCAGAGATGAGGAACAGCGGCCGCAAGAAAACCAAGCTCGAACTGCCTGTCCTCTACGACCTCCAGGGGAAAGACAGGAGCACCCCCAGAGGACGGAGAACGTGCAGGGCCACTCACCAAGTGAGCGGCGTAGTCAAGGCGGTGGGAAGAGGCAAAGCCAGAGACAGTGGTAATAAGTGCTGAGACAGATGACAGAGGTGCAGTCGGGTGAGTGACCAACGCGGACAAAACACGGGAGACGGCAGGACGGGAGGCACGGAGGTAGTCGGACAACGGGTCGTGAAGCACAGTGAGGGACGACTCAGGGGGCTGTGGAAGGACAGGAGGAGGTGGAACACGAGAGCGGAGAACAAGGTGAAACGGACCGTCTGCACGGTAACGGG